GTTGCGGGGCGACTATGGGCGATCGTGCGATCATGTGGCTGGGCAAACCTTCGAGAAACCTACGGAAAACACATGCGGTTTGATGTCCGCAAAAAACTGAATCGCAGACCGGAGTCGCGGCGCAGTTGGAACGCGCGCCTCCGCGTGGAAGCGCGAAGGGAGCGGGCGGGCTCGCAGTCCTTGGACCAGCCGTTGCACTCGTCAACGCCACTCACATGATCAGACACTACCCGGGAGTCCAAAGGGCCGAGCCCAATGGCCTGAACAGCGCCCGACGCCCCGCCCTGGGAACGGACTGCGCGCGCCCGAGGAGGGCCCCTTAGACCGCTCTACAAGGGCAAACCAGGTCCCAGCTCCACCGCGGCCCATCCACACAAATGGAGTTCGGGGCTGCCGCTGGCCAGCCCCGAGCCGCCCGTGAAGAAGCGCCCCCCCCCCCCTCCAAAGGTCAACGGGCGCGACTCCTGGAGAAAACGGGGGCTTCACCCATGGCCCGGGACACCCTCGGAGACTCGAGAGGGGCCCCGGGGCGAGCTCCACAGTGGCCCAGTCGGGAAGACCTAGCCGAGAAATGCACGTCACCCGTGAGCGCCGCCCAAGGCGCCCTCGGAAAAACACCGCCCCCGCGCGCCTGGGAAATCCACCGCGCCATCGCAATTACACAGGCGGTGCCCACAGGTGCCCTTGGCGCCAGCAGAGCACGCAGAGCGCGCATCTGCCTCCTAGCTGGGGCCAACATCGAGCATCAGAAAAGGCGCCTCAAAATCCCCTGCCTCTTGCTGCCACGCGCGCTGAGGACTCCGCGGCGCGGACTTCGCGCCCAGAAATCCTCCGAACCATCCGCATGTAGAACGCGCTGCAAGACGCGGGCCGATCGCCGACGGGAGAGCCCTGACCTCAGCAACCCACGGAGCTCGAAGGGAGAGACGCGGAGGAGGGAATGCGAGACGCCGAGGCCATCGACAACTACGCGAGAGCACAGCATCGCCCACCCAATGCGGGGCAATGACAGCAGCGCTGCGTAAATAAGACCCTCCCACATGTCCGAAGCCTTCCACTCAACAAACTCATCACGGGTGCCTTGCCACGCTCGCTGGAGGAGCTCGAGCGAGACCTCGCCACCTCAGACCGCAGACGCATATCTCAGCAGCAACGGCATGGTCGCGCCAAGGATCGGATCGAAAAACCTGCCCCTCTGACTGGCCAGCCACAAGATGAGAGCGCAAGACCCCTTCGCGCCCGCCATGGTTCCCGCGAGAGTGCGGGGGGGGGCATTGACGCAGCAGCATTAAGTCGGGCGTGCCCGACAGAGGGATTTTCGACGAACAAATAAATTATCCCGGCAAAGCAACCTAACAGCGATGTGTAGGAGCATATCTGGAAGCATTCCCCTTAAGATTCACATGAGAATCCAGATGTAGAACTCTGCTGTTATCGCAGTCTCAGTCGCATTCGCGATGAAAGTCGCAGTGGCAACGGCAGTCGCAGTCACAGCCTCAGCCTCAGCCTGCCTCAGCCTCAGCCTCAGCCTGCCTCAGCCTCAGCCTCAGCCTGCTTCAGCCTCAGCCTCAGTCTGCCTTCAGCCTCGGCCTCAGCCTCAGCCTGCCTCAGCCTCAGCCTGCATCAGCCTCAGCCTCAGCCTCAGCCTGCCTCAGCATCAGCCTGCCTCAGCCTCAGCCTGCCTCAGCCTCAGCCTCAGCCTGCTTCAGCCTCGCCTCAGTCTGCCTTCAGCCTCGGCCTCAGCCTCAGCCTGCCTCAGCCTCAGCCTGCCTCAGCCTCAGCCTCAGCCTCAGCCTCAGCCTGCCTCAGCCTCAGCCTGCCTCAGCCTCAGCCTCAGCCTCAGCCTGCCTCAGCCTCAGCCTCAGCCTCAGCCTCAGCCTCAGCCTCAGCCTCAGCCTCAGCCTCAGCCTCAGCCTGCAGCCTCAGCCTCAGCCTCAGCCTCGGCCTCAGCCTCAGCCTGCCTCAGCCTCAGCCTGCATCAGCCTCAGCCTCAGCCTCAGCCTGCCTCAGCATCAGCCTGCCTCAGCCTCAGCCTCAGCCTGCCTCAGCCTCAGCCTCAGCCTGCTTCAGCCTCAGCCTCAGTCTGCCTTCAGCCTCGGCCTCAGCCTCAGCCTGCC